TCTTCAAAGCTTAAAAAGCTATGTGATCTAAAAAATCTAACCAAAATGCGACCAATTTTTAATTTTTGGCCACCCAGATGGAATCGTGAAATTGGCTACATTCGAGTGCGGCCATTTTTTATTTTTTGGCCGCCTAGATGGGATCGTGAAATTGGCTACATTCAAGTGCAGTGTATTTTGCGTTTTTGGCCGCATTTATGTTATCATTTAGGTATTAAATCGGATGTTAAATCTGATATTTAATCGGACGGTAAAAAAATATGTATTCATACCCCGCATTCAGGTTCCAATATGTAACAAATGTGTCAATCATGAACCATGGTTTGTGATCAACTTTATGTAGCACTTTAGGAAAAGCAATCTCGAAGACGGGATATGACTCGATTTCATCATCATAAAATAGACTATTTTGTGGTCAATGATGCATTGATCAGTATTCTGCATTTTTAGATTCCGCCATGTAGCATTCGTGTCCATCGTCAACACGTGTTGACGGTCATCTATAAGTATCACTCCAGGAAAGGTGTTAATGGCATTTTTTTCTTGTCATTGAAAAATCTTTGATGACATTTTTTTTTAAATCTTACTTTTGTGTATCACTTTTCTGTATTGGTATATCAAAAAATTGGATAATGACAGGTAAGCATATAAATCCCATACATAGTATTGTAATTAAAATATATATGATTAAGCGTGAGTTTAGTGGCGTTTTTTTAAAAATATTTTTGTCAGTAGTTGTCAGTAGTTGAATATGATCAACTACTGACACCTTTCTTAGTCTAGTTGAGCTTCCTAGTCTTTTTCTCTTCTTTCTTGATTACTTTATTATAAGTGTCAGTAGTGTCAGTAGTAAAAAATCTATTTCTAGGAAAAAAAATGAAACTTTTCCTATATATGATATATATATATGGTATATATGTGGTATATGTACGTATACATAAAAAAAAATAAAAAAAAACGGAAATCGGATAAAAATACTACTGACACTACTGACACTACTGACACTTATCAAGAAGACTCGCTTTCGGGCTTGGAACTCCAGGAAAGGTGTCAGTGGTATTTTTTTTTACTGCTGACAACTGCTGACAACTGCTGACACTTAATTGGAGTGTATTTATATGCTGGAATTTCCTCAACTATAATTTACCCCCTCCCCCCTTCCACTTCAGATGACTCCTGGGTGAGCTTTTCAGACTTTTTCCAATAGTATCCTGCCTTGCTTCAGTGTTTTTTAGCATGAGTATCGCAAAAACCATAATCAGAATTAGTTAACTTGCTACACTCTCCGCAAGGAACACATGGTGGAGAATCCCAATGAACTTTACAGCCTTCTGGGCGGTAACATCCCCAGTTACATTCCTTACCAGTTCTAAGAATATAGGAGCAACGGAAAAATGCCATATGTATACAATATGATAATTAAAATTTGTTTATTTATATTCTCCGGAATTAATTTTCATTTTGAATTATTTTCTTGCGAATATTATACTGCCAGAATAAAGATGTCAATATATAGTGAAAATAGCGAAGCTAGCACTGCTAATTCTGTTTTTGAATCTGTTTCCAATTCTCAACCGCAAAATTCCGTTTTTGAAACCTCCTTCGAAGACGTTAACAGCGCCTTCTTTCACCGGGGACACAAAGCCGAGAGTGTAGCCGAATATCTATATAAAATCCGCGATGATAGTAATAATTATGAATTTCTTGGTACAGATACCGAGGATGGAATAGAAGCCATACTTAGTGAACGGCAAGGACATTCATTACACGAAATCATTGATCCACTTCGTCCTTTTATCGATTTTGATTTACCTATTGAATGTCTCAATAAAATAGAACCAAAAAATACACCTGTAGAGGCGCGAAATTTACTTTGCCGTGCCTTTAAAGAAGTCTGTTTAGAGATATATCCAGATTGGGATAAAACCACTCTGACTATTGCTAGTAGTAGCGATTCGAAAAAAATATCACTCCACATATCAACATGTGGTCTCCGACTCAAAAATATTTCCAAAGTTGCAAAATTTACTGAGCTTGTACGAAAAAAGCTTCCGATAGCTTTACAAAGCAAGAATATTGTCGATAACATAGCAAATAAAAAATCATTTTCTTTACGGATTGTTGGAACACCAAAATTCATCGAAAAAACTAATGAGCATGTACGAGTAAAGAAAGCACTATATCCAAAAGATGGATCTATTTTTGATTTTATGCTTCGTCCTCCTCATGATGAATCGCCAGTTATAGATAGTTCTCTCTTATCTATCTCGGAGTACGTAGCAACAAAAATTTCTAACACATGTACTACTGAGGATATTGAAATCGAACTCAATTTGGTTGCAAAATTATTAGAAGAATTCGAAATTGAAGGATACGAACTTTCATGTCCACATGAAAGTTTTCCTGATACTTTTCCTCTTAAACGGGTAACTCCAGCATTTTGCCCATTATGTTATCGAGAATATGGTTATAAAGATCCACATACAAGCGATAATGCATATGTTATCCGAAACAAAAAATCGTATAGTTTCTATTGTCATCGTGCGAATAATAGTAGGGAAGCTGGATCTAGAAAACCTTCAATAAAGTTGACCATTAAAGAAAAAACTTCGGAACGAGAAGAGAGCCTTCTGGTTCCAGAAAAAATAAACCAACCTAGAATAACGGATCCAAATGATCGTTTTGTATGGGGCGACTTAATTGACATGTGTTCATCGGGAGAAAAGTATACCCGTAATAAGGTTTACGAAGCTATCCAAGCAACAATTGCATATATCGATAGAGGTAAAAAGTTTTGGATATTTAAAGTTGAAGATGAAGATGAAGATGGCGGGCTTACCTTTGAATTTGTACCCAAACTAGAACTTGCTAATTATGAGATTAATATAATCGAATTTGGAGGAGAATCAATAAAGTTAAGATCATTAATAGATCGAGCAGTTACCAAAAATCTAATTCGATACCACAAAATCAATTTTCTTCCATACCCACCAAACATAATTCCACCAAAAACAAATTTCTTTAATCTTTTCCTGGGATTTATAGCTAAACCAGCATCAGAAATTAATCATGGATCCTATCCTCTGGCATGTAAAAAATGTGATCTGTGATGAAAGTGAAGAGCTTGAAAAATATATCTGGAACTGGTGGGCATATTTAATACAAAAACCAGAAATGAAAACTCGTTCAATCTGTGTATTTAAGTCTACTCTTCAACAATGCGGAAAAAATATTATTATTGATTTTATTGGTGATAAAGTTTTAGGACCAAATCTCTATTATGCGACATCTGATCTGGGAAAGATTCTTGGGAAATTTAATACTCTTATCCAAGGTAAAAAACTTGTGGTGATGAATGAGACCAGTATGTCTAGTGGAGAATGGCATAAGTTCAATGGTCATCTTAAGTCCCTTATAACAGATGGGAAGGTAAGTATAGAACGTAAAGGTATTGATCCTATTGATTTAAGAGATTACTCTGCATTTATGGTAACAAGCAATCAGGACGCCCCACTCAAAATCGATGGGGGAGATTCTCGTATAGTTTGTTTTGATGTATCCCCACGATGTAGAGGGAATATACCATATTTCAAACGTTTGGCTAAAATACTAGAGCATCCTGACACACCAGGGGTAGTTATGTCATATCTTCTTAATTGTGATCTTTCAAATTGGGACCCACAAAATATTCCTAATACTAAAATGAAAACAGATACAATACTGGAGCATTTACCAAATCCAAAGCGATTCATAATAGATTATATATCACCATGGTCTAAGGAACAAGTTGAGACACTAAGCAGTGCTACTTTATATCAAGATTATCTCACTTGGTGTGGAAGTAATGGAGAAAAACCATTTACTAGTAATATTTTTGGTAAAAAAATCTCACAAATTAACGTCAAACATAAACGGGCTGGAAGTGGAAAAAGAGAATGGCGGTATATCATTGAGCGACCAAAGATTGTAGCTAAATTACATGAGTCAATAGGTGATATAGAGGAATTTTCTGACGTACCTCAAGCCGAAATATCCACCAACACATCCACAGACATTCCTATATTTAATATCCCAGAAATTGTTACATCCCCAAAACCAGAAAAAAAGATAGCAGAACCGTTAACTACCAATTGTATTGAAAAAGGTAAGAAAACGTCCATTCCACCAGTTACTAATATGACCCAGGATCTCTTCGATTCTATAACAAATGAAAGTTCAGTTGCTTCGTCATCCAAGTCTATTGCAAAGCAATGGGACTTTGTCCCTACAGATATATCTCTGCCTCCCAAGATCGTGAATGTGGAAGTTGTAGACGATAAATCAAAATCTCCAGAAATTATTGAATTAGTGAATGATGAACCAGAGATATCTCTCGACTTATCCACGAATGATGAACCAAAAACCAGTAACGAAGAAGAGACAGAGTCTCGAATCTCCGATTCAACTCCCACCCAGATATCATATCCACCTGGATATCAAACCAGGGAGCAACGAGAGATACATCTTAGAGAATGTGCAGTTAAACGTGGCGAAAACCCAGATAAGTTCATTACTATTACTGAAAAAGATAGAGATTTGGCAAAAATTTATTATGATAAAATAATGGCAGATGCGGCAATAATTGAATTTGCACGAGGCGATGGGGCTGATCCAGAGAAATATATGGAATTATCCAGACGAGAAAAATTAATATGTATGGAGATTGATCTTTGGATGTATGAAGATAAAGGCGAACCCCGATCATATACATGTATTTATAATGATGAGGACTGGGCAAAAAATATAGCGATACTCCAGGAAAATGGGTATCTATGGTAAGGTTACTATATATATTAAGGAGTGAATAGGTGAGTTTTGTAGGTAGGAGCTTCGATATAGGAGATTTTTTTTTGCTCCTACAAACTAGTTAATATAAAAATTTCCAGATAAAAATATTCAATCCCCACCCGAAGTATAATCTTTAGTATCTTGCTGTCGCTTCAAAAAAGCCTGTACATCTTCTAACATTTTCCTACTGCCATTTTCAATCCGCTCCCTATTATAGGGTATTTTTAATAATTTACGAAGATCTTTGAGAGATAATTTTCTGTAATCGTCAACTAATACAACAGGCCCTCGAATTGGTGGTAAATCATCCCGTCCCATTCGTTGATATATAAGACGAGTCGCTAATGGATTCTGAGGTAAAGATTTAGCATAACCATCATCATCATATAATATAGCAAGATCATAATTATCCAAGTCGCAAATGGTAATATGCTGATTATTGGTACATTCTAGTAGGCGACAGATTTCTTCACTAGTATTATTAATTCTTTTTACTTCCAGAGGACCATTTACAGGAATATATATTCCACGATATATTGTCATGATAGATTGATTCGGTAAAATTTTAATCTTAATACCATCCTCAAATTTAATTTTAAATATGAAAGTGAGAATAGAATAATATAACCACTTTGCGATTACAAATCGAAAATGCCTTGTAATTGGTTATTAGTCGGGGATATCCATTTCTGCAAGACCCCAGCAAAAGGGCAATATTGCGCTACCCATGCATTCAAAATTCGAAAGGGTGTAATAATTCCCCAACCATGTAAAGGATGTGGTCGAGGGACTAAATCGAGTCTTCAGCTTTGTGTTCCGTGTGGACAAGGTAGGGAAAGAGCGTATAAATATTATAAACAGAAGTGTATAAGAGAAACTCTGCGTGCTTAATATCCGTATATACGAAGTAATTTACTAGATAAGTATTATCATTTATTTTTCCTACACAAACCAGGTCTTTGAAAATAACCAATTAAACTTATCATTTACATAAGTAACAATCAACTATTATCATTTTCATAACTATATACCACATTGATACTATAGACAAAAATGTATACCAAAGAGCCGGAATATAACAAAGAAACGATTACCTCAGATGAGTTATTCAAATTAGCTAGGCAATCGAAAAAACCAAAAATATATAACCCAAAAACTAATAGTATGATTGCAATCAATGGGCCCGCATATAATCAATTGTTATGCGATGATTATATACATTGGAGAGAAGAAAGACTTTTGATTCCGCCATTCAATGAAATGCCAATACTAAGAAAATGTCTATCTTTTGCATCTAATAAAATTTGGGGTATTGTCGCAGAAAAAAGTCTTCTTACAAAAATCGATGGGAAATTAACCTTATTAGACATCCTACTCAAAGCAAACTGGAATGA